GCCCCTGTATAGATGGTGTGTATCTCATCTCATGGGCAGAATTCCTACTTAACCATTCCCTTGGACCTTGCCATCCTCCATGTTTGCTTTGAACTCCTGAAGAGTAAGGTCTCTGGCCTAAAATCCCCCGGGGGCAGCCAGGTTGACTTCCCTTAAAGCACCACACACAGACTGTAGCAGTTACGGAGAAGAAAATGGCTTGTAGTACTGTTTTCTGAAGGCAGCAGTATGTATGACAGATACTTGTAGCTATCCAATACAGATGTTTCATAGAATTCCATCTGTAGAGCCGGGCGCGGTGGCTCAAGCCTGTAATCCCAGCACTTTGGGAGGCCGAGACGGGCGGATCACGAGGTCAGGAGATCGAGACCCATCCTGGCAACACGGTGAAACCCCGTCTCTACTAAAAAATACAAAAACTAGCCGGGCGAAGTGACAGGTGCCTGTAGTCCCAGCTACTCGGGAGCTGAGGCAAGGGAATGGCGTGAACCGAGAGGGAGGAGCTTGCAGTGAGCTGAGATCCAGCCACTGCACTCCAGCTGGGTGACAGAGCAAGACTCCGTCTCAAAAAAACAAAAAAAACAAAAAAAAAAAGAATTCAATCCATCTGTAGTAAGACAGGAAATGGTGATTCATTAGTGAATAAGAATTTGCTGGTTACTAGCGAATATTCCAGCTTTCTTTTGAATATGCTAATAGTTAAAACTTCTACCTTTTTTCCTTCATTGCTAATTAGTGTTATTAGTAGAGGATGTCTAGCTTTTGTTTATAATATACATACCTTTCATTTCTTTTTTTTTTTTTTGAGATGGAGTCTCACTCTGTTGCCCCAGGTCTGGAGTGCAGTGGCACAGTCTCAGCTCACTGCAACCTCCACCTCCCAGGTTCAAGCGATTCTACTGCCTCAGCCTCCCAAGTAGCTGGGATTACAGGTGCACGCTGCCACACTGGGCTAATTTTTTGTATTTTAGTAGAGACGGAGTTTCACCGTGTTGGCCCAGGCTGGTCTCAAACTCCTGAGCTCAGGCAGTCTGCCCTCCTTAGCCTCCCAAAGTGTTGGGATTACAGGTGTGAGCCACTGTGCCTGGCCCCCCATTTCATTTTTAAAATCAATAAACATAGAAATAATATGAAGCCGTGTTAAACTGCTAATAAACTGCTAATCTAGATGATAAATATAAGCGATCACATTTCGTGAGTATAGCCTTTTAATTGAGTTCAAATTATCTTGATTTGGGGGAAAGGTATCTAAAATGAACTGATCGTTAATGAGTTTTGTTCTGTAGAGGAACATTTCAGCCCTCCTGAGTAGCTGGACCACAGGCGCCCGCCACCACGCCCTGCTAATTTTTTTGTAATTTTTAGTAGAGACAGGTTTCACCGT